TTTAGAGCAAAAAAAAATCTAGGGTCACAATTACCACGTTGTTCAATAAATTACCGGATGTATGCTTTTCAACAACTTTTTTTCCCGGGTCAAGAAAGTTATCGTGTCTAGGCTCGGTAACTTACCAGGTCTGCTATATGTATATACCAAGTTATTTACACATGAGTTACCGAAGGTGTTTTCCAACAAAAAAATAGCAGGCTCAAAAAGTTACCATGTTTCAGCTAATTAAGTTACCAGCTAAGCGCTGCGTATATTACCATGCTCGGGATAGATGGCAAGAACCACTAAATTTGGAGCAAATCTCGCCCAACCCAGCAAATTACGATTTCATTTTGTCGAACTAGTTAACTCAACTAGAAACATGTAAAACCAAGACAAACAACATTAGTTAGCGGGTTGGTCTGTGCGTGCTGAAACTTTCAAGGGGTTGTGGGCTCGAGTCCTAGTACTCGCAAATTATTTATTTTTCATTTTTTCCATCGAAACCAGCATCCACCAGAAACGGGGTAAGTGGGAGGTGGAGATCACGGGCGGGATAAGCGGGATGTGGGAGATCACGTGATTAGCGGGAAACAGTGGACGCAAGAAAGAACAGATCGGAAGGCGCGGTCAATCGTAGGATTCAGATCCAACGGCACGCGATTCGTGCGGATCTGTTGCAAACTGACAGTCGGCAGGAATTTAGCATTATCGTTCAGATTAACTCTATATCAGCAACATTGAAGATAAAAAGGGTTATTAGCTGAAGGTGCATGGGCACTCTACAGCCTTGCCTTACTATCAATTGTGGCAACATTATGGAAACCAAACCTCGAGAGCTAGCTCAATTACTTTGAGACCTAACAAAGTAAGCCACTGCAGCCTTACTATCGATTGGAACATTCAACATTTTAATTGATACAACCGAGCAATGAGTATTGACAGAATTAGGGAAGAAGTGTATCTGTTCTATCACCAAACGTTGTATCATGAGCATTATCAGATAGCCAACAATTAAAACATGATGAGTTATGCTAATGACAACGGTGGTGAGTTCTGCGACAGTGAGAATGTTGATTGTTTTTCATGATCAGAAATTATTGTAGTGACTTGCAACTTTTGCTTATTTTACATTAGATAGACTATCTGTTAGACAATCACTCATGACTTCCATAGTTGTAATTCAAGTTCCAGGAACCCCATCCTGTGATAAGAACTAAGAAGGCATAGTCTCGCATCATACATCTTGCGATATTATAGGATTTGATACTACTAGCACGGAATCTGCCAAGTTCAGTATGGGTTGGTGTTGCCTCATCAGGCACCAAAGCAGTACAAGGTAGGATTCAGCTAACACCGATACCTGAAGAATAAGCTTCAGACGGGGAGGATAGACAGATGATACCTGGACGGAGTACTTGAGCGCGACGCCGGGGACGGTGTCCCCGCGACGGACGGTGTGCGAGAGCGCGAAGCGGGCGAGGGAGGCGGCGCGCCAGAAGGCCCTGGTGGCCGGGTCGCCGAGGACGCGGCGCACGCCCCAGGGCGCGCGGAAGGCGGCCTCCAGCACGGCGCGGTCGGAGGCGACGGCGCGCCAGAGGCGGCAGACGCAGGCCGCCCGCGCGACGTCCGCGGGCGGGAGCCGGTGCAGGACCGCCCGCAGCAGGTCGGCCGGGAAGTCGCCACCGCTCATCGGGGACGGCGCCTCCGGGCCGGGTTTGGTGGCGGGGGAGGTGGGGAGGGCGTGGCCGGCGACGTCTCCGGCGCGGCTGCTCATGGCGACCGGGAGGCCCGCGCCGTGGCTGCAGGTGGGTGGGGGCGGCGGCGGCGGCGTGGCGGGGGATCCTACCTATGGATGGACGGGGGAAGAAGGCGCGGGCCGTGGTTGACTGGCTGTGGCTGCGAGGGGGAACGGAGATGTGTGGCGCTCCAGGGCGGTGCGTGCACGACTCGCGGACCATTCCTCCACGCCTTGCATTATCACCAACTGTAAATATTCTCATTCAAAAAACTGTATATTCTCATAAAAAAAACTGTAAATATTCTCACTAAAGTTGATCCTTTAAAAAAAAGTTGATTTCAAAAAAAGGTGGAGACACTTATTTAGGACGAAGAGAGTATAATGTATTAGTGTGTACTAGATTGTTTAAAAAAACTTATTAACATATACTCCCTCCGTCCGGATTTATTAGGCCTAAAGACAACTTCTCTTAGACCAAGACACATAGTAATTTGCTCACATTAATTCTTCCATTCCACTCCCAATGCACTCTCTCACATGCATGCAGCCAATGAAAAAGCACACATGAAGTGTATTAACTTTTTCAGCCATGACACCAACAACAATAGCTTTCAATACAACCAATGAAATGGTTGCATGCATGCACCTTTCCAACGCGGGGCCTTATAAAAGGGGACATGCTTGTGATGCTGAGAGGCCTAATAAACCCGGACGGAGGGAGTAGCAAATTATCGTTGTATTTTTCGTACGACGGCAACCTTCTCCCAGGCCCCCCTCCTCACGCACTCAAACCGACAAGTCTCTACCTCACTTTCGGCTAAAAACAATGGGACCGTGTCGTCGCCAGCCCCGACTCACTCCAGGTTACAGCGTCCCCGTCCCAGCCTCAGGGGCAACGCGCGCCTGCGAATCATTTGACGCAAGAAAAACATCTACATTGCATGAGGAATAAGAAAAATCATTTCTTAACAATATCTCATTCTTCGTGTCGCCCTCTCAAATTGCGATGAACGTTTTAGTCGAGCACAAACCAGCGTCGTTGCGCCGTCGTTACCAACAAAAATGTTTACAAGGGAACCACGGGATCCATATTTCGTGCAACTTCCAACTATTAACAAGGACGTGCCATAAGAGAAGTCGGCTACAAAAACAGTTAGCTATTTTCCTACTTAGTTTTTCCTCACTAAGCCGTTCAAACATTTTCGCGAAGACAACACATGGCTTGTGATGCTGAACTTGTGTCGCCTAAAATTTCACCAAACCATCATCTAAGATTACATAAGATCTAGAGGGTTGCCTCCGGTGATCATCAACTTGTGACGGTCACCGTTACCGAAAATGGTCTTAGGTGATGGTTCTTCCTCCGTCACCATGATTTTCGTCACAAGGGGTGGCATGTTGTGTAGTGGGGAGGATCAATTCAAAGCATGTGATCCCTTGTGACCTATCTTTGAAGAGTGCCCGAGGGAATAGTGGTCTATCCTTTGAATTGTTCCTCGCCACTTATTCCCTCTGCCACGCTCGCTGCAGCTTGTGTTTATGCTGCCCAACCGACCGCCTCCGAGCAAACACCAATTACGTGGCTGGTGAATCCCCGCTGCCTGACGCTATTAGACTAGTCACAATAGATAGTAACATACACATTTTCCTAAACTATATTACTATCTTCATAGTGGGTAGTAACTTAAGTGTGGTAACATGCAAATATTCATTTATCAGGTTATAGACTCATATTGCATTGGGATATGTGATGTTACAGTAACTAGCTAAGTTACTACAACTACCTCTCTCTTCATTAACTCATTGCCACATAAGCAAATTTGCTGAGTTGGACTTGATGTTACTGCTGAAGTTACTCCCACTGTGGCTAGTCTTAGCGAACTAGGAAAGGGTCGAGAAGTGTCTCCTTCCCTAGATTTCGTCGATGATGTCCCAAGCACCACCCCCGAACCAACGCTCGATGGTGGGAGCGAGAGTCGGAGTGAAGTGGAGTCGAGCATCCCCGGACAACAAAGGCACGGGAGACGCCAACACTGGCGGGAGCAATGAGGCGGCGAGGGGTTGTGGGCGGGGTGAAGAGAGCAAGCGATGACAAAAATTATACTCCCTTCGTTCATTTTTGTAAGTCGTTTCAGACAACTTAAAATAGGCTGTTTTGCACATTGTCTGAAATGTCTTCAAGGTCTTATAAAAATGAACTCCAGAGAGAGTATATGATACGTACGAAAATGGCTTGCAGTAAGTGCCGTTGAAAGCAAGCACAATTACCGTGACAAAGTCAATCTCTCAATACAATGACCAGAGTGCATTTAGTTTTACTCGTATAAATAAAAAACTAAAGCAAGCTACCCTCAAACTCGGTCGACCTGGAGCTGCCACATACACCCAGCGAAGCAGCATTGCCTACGCTCGCAGGTTCTAGCGGCGACACTGTAGAGACGGCCCCACAGGCTTCGTCCCCACTCACAACGCAGAATACCGGAAACACCCCTCGCCGCCAAGCCCGCAGCCCCTGCCCTTATCCTCTTCCTCTGTTTTTCCCCACTTTGCCCCCACCCCACCCCTCGCGGGGGCGGCGGCGAGGCCACCCATCACCGCATTTGCCTACTTCTTCCCCGCCCCGGCTTCCCGCTCGTCTCGTCTCGGCTCGGACTCCCACGCCACCCAACGCCACGCCGTCGCCCTCGAACCCTCTCTCCGCGGAGCACGCCGGCTCGAAGGAGCTCCGAGCGGAGATCCCTGCGAGCTTGCTCGACTGCTGCTTCAGAGCCGGTGACAACCACCAACTTACTCGCATTGTTCTAAGAATCCCTTCCATTCTCATCTTTGTTTTACTTGCCGTGGTGAATCTAATCCAGATATTTCTATATGGCAATGGGCGCTCTGACCCTTCCAGTTCTCTGTGAATCTGTCTGCGGCGCGGTGGAGTGGAGTACTCTCTTCATTTTTTCCAACCAAGTCATTGGTTCACTTCAAGGTGGTTTCGCCAGATTTGTACAGATAGTTTGATTGGAGTGTTCGGGCCTGAGGAATCGGGTAAACAGCTGGGCGTGATTCTTGGTGATATTCCATGGAAGCCGTGCACGGTATACAGTCCCTGGCTTGAGGAGACGGCCACCACCACCTTTCCCGGACCCTTGGGCCGGCGCTGCTGATCTCCGTGGGCTATATTGATCTTGGCAAGTGGGTGGCCACGGTCGACGCCGGGGCTCGGTTTGGGTACGACCTCGTGCTGCTGGTGCTGCTTTTCAACTTCTCATCGGTTCTGTATCAGTACATGTGCACCTGCATCGGCATGGTCACCGAGAAGAATCTCGCACAGGTACCCGATTCACGAGTTATTTCCTGCTGCTGCTGTTGTTGTTCAGACATCCACCGTATAGTTCTAGTTCTTACTTGTGATGCGCTTATATGGATTTCAAGATCTCCGACCAGGAGTACAGTCGGTTCATATGTGTCGGCCTTGGTGTCCAGGCAGGATTGTCTTTGCTTACTTCAGAACTAACCATGGTATGCCACTATGTCTACAGGCATTTGTTTTATTTTGTTTTGTTTTGTTTGTCAAAGCTTCATTCTAGAGTATTTTGTATTGGATTGGTATGTAACTCCTCACTTTTCTGAACATTTAGTATTTTTTCTGTTTCAGATTTCAGGCATAGCAGTTGGATTCAACCTTGTATTTGATCACGATGATCTCATCACAGGCATTATTTTTGCATGCGTTGTAATTAACCTGCTGCCGTATCTCTTATCCCCTCGGGTAAGTTTATTATTGACCCTGGAACTAGTAATTCTTGATAGGTTCATCTAACTCCTCTATGACCCTATGTGCTTTTCATATATTATTTCTGACCATTCTAGGACAAGAGGATGTCTGGAATGTTAAATGCTTGCATAGCGGGCTTTACGATCCTTTGTTTTGTGCTTGGTTTGTTAATCAGTCAACCAGAGATACCTCTCCATGTGAATGTGATGTTCCCCAAGTTGAGTGGTGAAAGTGCTTACTCACTGATGGCACTTATGGGTGCAAACATAATATCACACAATTTTTATGTTCACTCATCAGTTGTTCAGGTATTTTCCGATGCCTCTTGCTCATACGTAGTTTTAATTGTCCACATATTTGGATTTACATTTGAAGTTGCAGTAGCTGTGTCAAACTGTCTTCCATTATGAGTTGTTTGGTTATATGTTGCAACTTGTGTTGATATCTGGTGTGTGTCATATTTCATAGTTTCAGATACAGATTATGACATCCACGATGCTGAATACATAATAATAACCGTTCATCACAAAAAGGGGCAAGCACCCGCCAAAAATACTAAATAGCTGGGCGTTGGGCATTATGCTTGTGTTCGGTGTCATGTCTCAAGCAGCTTCTGCATAGCATTTGATTTGTTTCGTGTCATTCCACTCGTCAGAATTATCATCTATACCATAGGAAATAGTGCTTCAACTATGCTGCTATGATCATTGAATCACTCATGGGGTATTTGGTTCAAGGAAGGGGTGAATGGAAGACCCATCATGCTTTCATCCCTCATAAGCACAAACTAACAAAAATGAGGATGGAGTCATCCCCGAAAATTCATGGAATGATCAGTTGATCGCATGATGGACCAATCCACCTTCGCATGAAGAGGCGGTCCTCCAATCCAACATTCAATTGAAGTATTAATGTTTCCAGGGTTGTCGGACAATGTACCTTTTTTGCTAAATTTTCATTCTTATTATGCGAAGGGGAGCCTTGGTGCAGTGGTAAAGCTGCTGCCTTGTGACCATGAGGTCATGGGTTCAAGTCCTGGAAACAGCCTCTTACAGAAATGTAGGGAAAGGCTGCGTACTATAGACCCAAAGTGGTCGGACCCTTCCCTGGACCCTGCACAAGCGGGAGCTACATGCACCAGGTTGCCCTTTTTTTTTTCATTCTTATTATGCAAGTAAACATGGAGAAAATGGTATTGCATGTTTTCATTAAATGTCATGTGGATTGTTTCCTAAGTGAATGATGCTAACGGAACTAGCACTGTTACATTTTGTGTTTTTTATTACGTGGTTAATTCAACTATTAGAAAGTCTGGAAAACTATTAAAATTTGGTTATGATAGTTCAGAAATATTGTAGAACACATCAGGTTAACATGGCAATGCACTCTGTATTCCCTGATTCCACTATTATTTACAAACAAGTCAATTTTACTATTTATTCCTGCTTATTGGAGTTCATTTTATCATATATGCAGGTTCAAAAGAGGTCTCATGTTCTTACCCTTCGTACCCTGTTTCATGACCACCTTTTTTCTATATTATTCATTTCTACTGGAGTTTTTCTTGTGAACTATGTTCTGTTGAGCTCAGCGGCATCGGAATCTAGTCACAATGTGATCCACTCCTTTCATGATGCTGTAGATCTGATGAACCAGGTTTGTGAGTCCAGTTTCTACAGTATAAATCCAAATATTAAAATTACAATCATGCCTTTTGGTGTTCTAAGTATACATTGAAATTTCTTCCTGAGTTTCTCTGGGTTCTTGCCTTCTGCAGATATTTACAAATCCCATGGCTCCACTTGTGTTACTAGCGGTTCTTCTCTTTTCGAGCCACATTATTTCGTTGACATGTGTTATCGCCAGTCGTGCAGTTATGGAGAATTTCTTTGGTGCAAATCTGTCTCTTTCTGCGCATCATGTGCTACTCAAGGTTCTTTCCATGATTCCTACTATCTATTGTGCAAAAGTAGCAGGCTCCGAAGGGATATATCAGTTACTCATTCTTTGTCCAGTAATCCAGGGCATGACCCTGCCCTCCTCTGCTATTCCTGTTTTCCGTATTGCCTCATCACGGTCAATGATGGGCAACTACAGGATATCTCTGTACGTTGAAATACTAGCCTTCCTTGCATTTCTTCTTATGTTGTTCACAAATATCATTTTCGCGGCCGAAATCATGTTCGGTGACAGCAGCTGGACAAACAACCTGAAAGGGAACACTGAAAGCCCTGTCATAATTCCACATGCTGTACTAATTCTAATGTCTTGTGCGTCTATTGCTTTTACACTCTTCCTGGCTGTGACTCCAATAAAATCAGCCAGTAGTGAAGCTGAAACTCATGAGTGGTCTGTGCACTCTCCGAGAGAAGCACTGGGCACCACTCATCACAGAGAAGATACTTATCCGGAATATATTGCGCGCGAAGAAATTCAAAGGTATTCTGTTGATGTTGTTCCAAAGGATTCATTGGGAAGTCATAAGAAATCAGCTTTGGAGCATACTGACAGTTCTGAAACCACTGCAGAATCCGATAACGGGGCTCAACAATCAACTGCTCATATGGCGACTATTCCTGAGGCTGACTCCTTAGCGCCCTGCAACCTCGAGGAGTCAAAATCAGTTGTTAGGGTTGACTTTACAGAGTCAACTACAAAGGTTTCTACTGCCATGGTAGTAGAACAAAGTTCAGCAGAGAATATCAAAATGAAGAGCACGGCTGAGAAAGATGTCGAAGTTGAAGCAGATGTTTGCACAGACAAGGACAATGAGACTTCACATAATGTGAGCTCCAGTAATAAGTCCACTGGAGGCAAAGCACCCTCTTCATCTTCCAGTGATCCACCATCCCTTGCTATGAGCAGGTATAAAGAAGCTGATGCTATCAGTGGCAGTAGTGGCCTCTCAAGGCAGCCTGGTTTGGGCCGTGCTGCAAGGAGACAGTTAGCAGCTATTCTTGATGAGTTCTGGGGGCATCTTTTTGATTATCATGGTAAGTTGACACAAGAAGCTAATTCTGAAAGGATCAACCTTTTGCTAGGACTGGACTTGGGAGTAGATGGTTCAGCTGGGAGAACGGATAACCAAAACACTCAAGCTTCCAAGAACCCCTTAGCGAGAGATACAGTGCCAGGATCAGGCATCTCTAGCCCATACTTGTCTTTTGGGCTTCAGATGGGTGCCATGGGGTCATCAGCCTGGTCACAGAGCATGCATTTACCAAAAGCAGACGCTCTGAGTTCAAGCAGCACGTTTCTTGACCAAAATGCAAAAGAAATCACGAATTATGATGGGGCACCTTACTGTGATAACCAGTTGTGTGAGCCTGCTACGATTCATGCTGGGTATCAGCTAGCAAACTATCTAAAAGTGATAGATGCAAGTCGGCGTTCACGTTCCAGCATTCCACTGAAGGCACAGCGACCTCCTATATCTTCTGAATCCGCTGGTTCCAACTGTGCTGGCTCTGCTATTCGTTCATTTGGTTCTACCACTTTGCAGAACCCAACAATGAGCGGCTTAAGTACAATGATGGTAGGAAGATCGTATTACGATCCCACTACCATTCTTGGTGGTGGCTCATCTGCTTACCCAAAGAAGTACCAGAGCTCACCCGATATATCTGCTGTAATTGCTGCAAGCAGGAATTCACTGTTGAATAAAGCAAATATGGGCAGTGCTGCTGGAAATCAGTCATATCTTAGTAGGGTGGCATGTGAAAAATCACGTGATGTGGACGCAGCAAACATGTTACAGAGCTCTATGCAGTCGAGTATGAACACCAAACCAGCATCACTTTGGTCCCGGCAACCATTTGAACAACTGTTTGGTGTGCCGAGTGCAGAGTTGAATAATAGGAGCGAGGTGAACACCGAGCGCAGATCAAATGTCACCAAGGATGATTTCTCATACAAGGAATCCGAAGCAAAGCTTCTCCAGTCTCTTAGGTTTTGCATCATGAAGCTCTTAAAGCTGGAAGGGTCGAGATGGCTTTTTAGGCAGAGTGGTGGTCGTGATGAAGATCTAATTGACCAAGTCGCTGCAGCTGAGAGAGTTTCACAAGAAACCACAAATGGCATGGACGTTAATTGCATGCACGGACAGCTCAATTGTGGTGGTGATTGTGTTTGGCAGGCTTCCCTGGTTGTTAGTTTTGGTGTCTGGTGTATCCGTCGGGTGCTTGACATGTCCCTTGTGGAAAGTAGGCCAGAACTTTGGGGCAAGTATACTTATGTTCTCAACCGTCTTCAGGTAACCCTTTTGCCTTATTATTTTTCAGGCTTGCAGTAGACTACAACATGCACCCTTACGCTGAAAAAGGCAACCTGAGAAGTGGATCCCGACATTGTTTGCTCATCCATTTAGCAAAGATTCTTTTAACATATTGACATTCAAAATGAAGTTCCAGTTTCCAGTAAACTACTCCCTCTGTTCCAAAATACTTACTTACGAAACCTTTTATCCCAAACAAGTTGGGGTAGGCTAGATATGAAACCCTTTCACGAGGACTTCCCAGGAGGTCACCCATCCTAGTACTACTCTCGCCCAAATGGGTTTCATACCCAAAAGACTGGCTAGTTTTTACGTTGGCTCGCCAAGCCTATCACAACCCTTAGATATGAAACCCTTTCACGAGGACTTCCTAGGAGGTCACCCATCCTAGTACTATTCTCGCTCAAATGGGTTTCATACCTATGGGACTGGCTAGTTTTTACGTTGGCTCGCCAAGCCTATCACAACCCTCCTCCTTTACCCGGGCTTGGGACCGGCTATGCCTAGAAGACATAGGCGGAGTTTCCCTCTGTTCCAAAATGCAGTGCATATTTTGTTTTCTAAGAGTCAAACATGTTATATTTGACCAAGTTTAAAGGGGAAAAAATAACATCCAGAATACAAAATCAATAACAATAGATTCGCCATGAAGCGTACTTTTTATTTTCTTTATTTAGCATTTTAGATGTCGATAGTTTATTCTATGAACTTGGTCAGACGTAGACATGATTGAATGAAGTTGAAACAGGGGGGTGTATGCTAGAGTCGCAGTTAATTTGAGGATATATCAACTATTCGAACATAAGAATTTGAGAATATGTCAACTAACCATGGAGGGTGGAAGAACTGTTAGTACATGACATAACTGAACTTAGCGTGGTGATTGGAACGTACTATTGAGCATATATCAATTTCATGTCATTCTCATCGCATATTCTGTTTTCTGATATCTTGTTTACCTTATTTGATGCAGGGGATCCTCGATCCTGCATTTTGTAAGCCTCGGAAACCCGTCACCGGGTGCTCATGCCTCGAGAAAGCACGTCTGGTCGCCAAGCCGATGCCCGCCACCTTCACCGCCATAGCTGACATCTTGCTGTTGATCAAAGATGTGGAGCAAGCCGTTTCGGGCCGGAGGGGTCGAAGCGGCACGGTGGCAGGAGATGGTGCCTTCCCTAAAGGGAAGGAAAACCTTGCTTCTGTGCTCAAGCGATACAAGCGTAGGCTCTCGAGCAACAAGCCACCTGCCGGACCATAGCTCTCACCAAGCCTCTGTAGACTGTAGGGTTCTAGTTACCACTGCTTCTTCTCGTATATTGGGTTTTTCTGCTGCATGCCGTACGCCTGGAGGCTTTTCGATCTTGGTTCAGTAATGGCAATCGACTGTAACTGGTTTTGCCCATATAATGGCAATTCACTCTGGTTTTTCCCATATAATGGCAATTGCATAGTGTTCTACAAGGGCAAGGTGTGAACGGTCACTGTAGCTGCTTCGAGCGAGATGTACAAAAAATCGTTGGTAGTTTGTTGAAGTGGCTCTGTAAATTTGACTGTAACTCAAATTCCTCTTGTGGCTAAATCTTTGTATTTCAATGTTTCCGCGGCTTTTGCCGCCCCTTTCCACAAACAAGTACTGAAAACCCTAGGATCCAGGAAATGTCCTAACTGATGCACCGCGATCGTGACATTGACCACTGTCTCTTTTATTTTTCAGTAGTATTTGAAATACTCGCTGCTATTTGTGATATTCAGTTCTTAAAATAATAAAATATGATTTCCATACAAAGTTCTACAGGTGCGCATGAACAGGTGAGAGCTATGTAGAACATTGTCTGTGATGGTCTGCATCCTCTATGGACTTCACATTTTCAGGTCTCCTTTGGTTCATAGGATAAAAATGTTGTAGGAATAGGAAAATCATAGGAAGTGAGATGACATGCATCTCAATTTCTATAAATCAAAGGAGGCCTCAAGTCTATAAAGAAGAACTTTACTGTGCCCTGGACCCGATGCCGACCATCTAGGACCGATTGACAAAGTTACCACAAGTGTACCTACCACTATAATAATAAAAAATTAGCTCTATATGGATACTCATCAACTTTAAAGTACAAAAGCTAAACATGAAACTGCAAAGCTGTAACCAATAATCAGTCACATGCATTGGTTTTCCGTCTCTGGCATTGATTGCTATATACTCCCAACTTTCAATAAAATTCTTAGAGCAAGATTGATTGTTATATGCTCCCATCTCTGAAGAAAATTCTTGGAGCAACTCTAGCGAATCCCCTGTCTTAAAAATCCAAAATGGATCCCTTACCCTCTTTCGTTTTACAATTTTTAAAAGATCTAGCAAATCCCCCTCCCTAAAAATCCAAAACTTTTTTTAACACAAACTAGCAAATCCCCTAAAACCGTTTGAACACAAGCTCATTTGAAATACAAATTTAAACTAGCTCATTTCATAATTTGATTTTATGTACCACATTAACATCGTGCACAACATAATTGAACCATCCATTGCATATTACTACATCGACATCAAACTAGGTTAAGCATCGACATAAAACATATAAAAACTAGAGTAAAATACACCACTACTCCTAAAACTATTCGAGGGTGTCTAAATGTGTCACCTATAGTCCTATCCGCGATGCATCAAATTTGACTTCCACGGGTGGCAGATTGACTACTGCCATGTAGCAACTTTTTGCACAAAAACCCAACCAAAAAGTCATCTCTTCTAATCTTTTGTGCAAAGGAGAATGCAGAGCATATCTTCTTTAATTGCATCCTTGCCAAGTTCAAGTGA